CCTTGCCTCAGAAGAGTGGCTCCAGCAGGCTTTCCAGTGACCAAGGTGGGAAGCTCAGAGCTGCAGGCGTGTCCTCAAAGCTGGTCGCAGGCATCTGTCCACTCCCCGCCTCTGGGCGCCTGGTGTAGACGGACGGAGAGGCGATGGCTTCTTGTGGCTGAAGGCTGAGACTTGTGGAACTTCCCATTTAACTAGCAGTATGTCGTCCGTCCCCCTGACCCCAGGGGGTGAGCTTGCCCTGCGCGGCCCTTGACGTGCGCCCTCCAGCCCTGCAGCGTGGTCTCGCTGCCCAGCGCCACGCTGCCGTGACAGCCCTGCGCTGTGTGGTGGCGAGCCCGCGTGGGTTTTATATATATCACGATGTTGTACACCTTAAATTACACAAAGTTATAAAAACTTGTATGTTAATTATAACTCAGTAAAACTGGGAAAAAAGAATATTCAACCTGATTAATAAACCCAGAAATAATGCATTATACCACCACGAAGGCGTGGAGGGCATCGCTGCAGTTCTCAGTGTTCAGTGTTTAGGATCCCCAGATGCCCCGACAGCGACGGACTCGCACAGATGACAGGCAAGTGCGTGCAGACACTCCTGAATGTACGTGCAGAATGGTTAGAATCGGTCTCTCACCATAAGTGACGTGTAAGAGAACCAGCCACAGCCCAAAGGAGCCTTGGGATTCCCAGCGGTTGAACTGTTTGGAAATGTGTAGTGTTTCCTGCAAACATCTATTATTCATTCTAATGTCAATAAAATAAACCATATCACTTCCGAGCTCCCATGAAAGTCAAGAGTTGCTATTTTTAGTGTTGGCTTTCCTGTGTCTGGCTCCACCAGCAGTCCACACGGAACCCTGCCCGCTGGACACAGGTGCCTCCTCACTGATGCTCCGCTGTCGGTGCTGCTGGATGGGTCGTCACTTCTCCGTCTGAGAGCGGCTGCTCAGTCCCTCAGCTGATCGGAGGAGCACGGTGCCCACGTCCGGTCCCGGGTGGGGTCCCAGGACACCTGCTGCACCTGCCTGATGTGCGCACGCACCTTGGTCTGCTCTTGGTGTTCGACGGACGTTCGCTGCCTGTGCCCTCCCAGAGAGAGCTGTCCTGGTGCGAGTGGAGAAGGGCACCTCCCAGGGGCTGTGCCATGCACACCTTCAGTCCTGGTCGGTTTATGTATCAGTCAGAAAAAGGTGGGCATTTGAAAGGATTCTTCATGATTTGGGCCCTACCTCTCCCCAACCTTATCTTCTGCCATATGTACTGATGGACATATGCCTTTATGCACTGTCTATAATGTGTCTGTCTGTGTCTGCCTGTCTATCCGTCTTCTGCACTCGTGCCCCGAACCCTGCACAGCACGAGGAGTGACCTCAGCGGCCCACAGAGCCCAGGGAGGAACGCAGGGCCACGTGCCGGGCAGGCGCACTGCGGTGCCTGTGAATGGCGCGGCTGCGGGCGTCACAGCCGGGGTCAGCTGCCGTTCGCTGTGGAATGCAGGCCGAATATGCTGGAAGCTTCTTCAAGAGGAGTCACCAGGAATCCATATGTTCATGTGAAATCTCCCAATTTAAAAATGTTGGCTCAAGTGCCTTTAAAATGTAAATGAAGGGAATATAAAATGTGCCACCATTGTGGGAAACAGCATGAAGATTCCTTTAAAAAATTAAACATAGGACTACCATGTGATCTAGGAATTCCACTTCTGGGTATGTGTGAGGGAAACAGAATGACCCCCTTGAAGAGACGTGTTCACTGCAGCATTGTTTACAACAGCTAAGATGTGGAGGCCACTTCTGTGCTCACCAGTGGGTGAATGTTCTTGATCAGAACATGGTACATTTATAATGGAGTATTATTCAGCCATAAAAAAGGATGAAATTTTGCCATCTGTAACAACATGGATGGACCTTGAGGGCATTATGCACAGTGAGATAAGTCAGAGAAAGACAAACACTGTGTGATCTCACTTAGGGCGGCGTGGGGAGCCACAGTTCTACACGATGGAGTGGCGGGTTGGGGGTGAAAGGCACACATGCCTCGCTATGAGATAAGTAAGTCACGGGGATGTGATGCTCAGCGTGGTGAATGCAGTTAACAGCACCGTCTTGTGTATTTGAAAGTTGCTGAAAGAGTGGATATTAAAAGTTCTCATCACTCAAAAATTGTAACTATGTGAGGTGACAGATGTTTACTAAACTTACTGTGGTAATCATTTTGCAATATATACATATATCAAATAATTATGTTTATGCCTTAAACTAATACAACATTGTATATAAAATATATCTCAATAAAACTGGAAAAAATAAACTCCTTTAGTAAATAATATGAAAAAATGCAATCCAATAAAAAAAAAAACCGATATAGTTACCTATATATATAAAAGACAAGTTGCATGTCACCAATTCTCAATTTTTGGTTTACCATTTCTTGATTTTGTACACGAGATTGATATTGGATGGGTATACCACCTGGTATATCCACTCACCCCTTGATGAGCACTCGGGTTGCTTCCACCAGTTGCTACGTAGATAATGATGCTGTGATCACAGGCTGACAAGTACCTTTTGAGTCCCTGCTTTAATTCTTTTGGGTCTTCATAAGCTTTCATGCCCAGTGGGAGAATGAGGTAAATCTGCTTGAATGCAGGGTTTTACAACTTTTCATGGCTTACACAGGAAATGTTTGCTTGGCTCCTTGGGGTAACTGGAGGGGTTTGGAGCCCAGACAGAGTGACAGAGGTGACTGGGCCAGGATCCTGCCGCCCCGAACCCCCAGCACACACTGGACTCTCTGGGCAGGGAGTGCTCTGCTCAGGACAGCCAGACTCTCCTGGTTCTGACCCCATGTGGGCACGTGGTGTGTGGGCGTGTGGTGTGTGGGCACGTGGTGTGTGGGCGTGTGGTGTGTGGGCACGTGGTGTGTGGGCGCGTGGTGTGTGGGCATGTGATGTAGGCGCTCTAGGGGTAGGCGCGTGGTATAGGCATGTGGTGTAGGTGCTCTAGGTATAGGCATGTGGTGTGTGGGTGTGTGGGCGTGTGGTGTGTAGGCATGTGGTGTGTGGGTGCGTGGTGTGTGGGCGTGTGGCGTGTGGGTGCATGGTGTGTGGGCGTGTGGTGTGTGGTGTAGGTGCTCTAGGAGTAGGCGCGTGGTATGTGGACGTGTGTAGGCACATGGTGTGTGGGCGTGTGGTGTGTGGGAGCGTGGTGTGGGCGTGTGGTGTGGGCACGTGGTGTGGGTGCTCTAGGTGTGGGTGGCCGGACGAGGTGTCCTAAGCCTCGTCAGCTCTCTGCTCACACCCCTTTTGGCAAACCCAGCCCTTTGCAGCTGTGGAATGAGGGACACTGGACCTCACAGCCCCTGCCCCGGCTGCCTGGAACAGCAGTGCAGACGTCACCAAAGGCAGTCATTCAAATGTTCTGCAGGGCTAGACTTAGGTCAGGACACCCAGAGCAGAAGGTGGGTGTGGAAGCCGAGTGGAAAGACCCTGCCAACCTAGGACCCGAGGCTGCCACTCCGAGGCAGCTGTGGGAGGCCAGTGTCCGCTGAGCTGTGGTCAGTCTGTCCAGGAGGGGGAGCCAGACGCCACCTGGGCTGAGCAGAGGTGGGGGAGGAACCGCCGCCTCAGACTTATTTCCTATGAGGCCTGGCTGACTGTCCTGCATGTCACTCTCGGGAAAGTCCCACCTGTCCTTACAATGAGAATGTCTTCCCTTCGGGTGGTGGGGTGGGTTTGGCTGCCTCGGAGGTGAAGGTGGCTGGGACTTGCTGGGAGAAAGTGTAGGGCACAGAAGCCGACTGGTGCAGTGGGAGCGAACCGAGTGGCCATCAAGACAACTGAATGCTTTGTAAACAGTTTATTAATCTGTTTGGCCAAACAGGAAATGGAGACTGAGAATAACAGTTTGCTAAAAAGTTCAGGTCATGAGTGCCCCTTGCCCCTATGAAACGAGACTCTGTGGTTACAGAGCGCACCTTTGGTTATGACAACATTTCAAAATAAGGTTCCGTTTCGTATGTAACAATGTAAACTTCAAAAATAGGAAACTCTACCCCGTCCCTCTTCACAGATCTATCACAGATAGAATTCTCTGCAGAGCTCAACTGTGTCGTGATCAGCCTGGTGCTTACAAACAGAAAGATGTGACGATTCAGCGGATAGTTTCTGGTCTCGGTCGTGAAGTGAAGGCTGCCCAGGGCCCCCCTTGGCCGTCACCTTCATGCACGTCACACACTGAGAGGCACGTTCCATCACCCTGGTCATCAGTGTTGTCATCTTTGTACACACATGTAATATATAGTTTTATTTGTTTTTAAAGATTTCTACATCTAAGTGATAAGACGGCGCCAGTGACTTATGATGTCACCTCGCTTCACACAGGTAAAGACAAAGATTCTGTAGAAGGCACTGTAATTTCTCTGGCATGACCTTATACAGCAGGTGAGAGCAAGCAGGTGAGGGCTCGGACGATGTCCCCGATGTTCCCTGGCTCAGGCCTGTCCTCCTCCAGCTGCCCCACCAGTCAGAGAGACGCCTGGTGTGCGTCCTCCCCTCCGCGTCCCCTCTCCTGTCCGTCTCCCCACCACGCCAGCTACCTCTCGGTCCACCACGACCCTCACAGTGAAGAGTGCGGTGGCGGTGCACACGGGCATGACCACCACGCTGGAGGAGTCACAGTGTGTGACGGGACTTTGGCCGCGAAGAGTCAGGACACCGCCCGGCCTCCCCAGGAACGCCTGTCATCCATACACCTTGCACAAGGACTTCACTTGCTTTACATTCATTTAAAAAGAGCTGAGGTTCTCCCTTCGTTTTGAATTGGTACCTTGAGTGGAAGGTCTGAGGTGAACACAAGCGGGCGAGTTGGACATGCCCATCAATGCCTGTGACTTAGCAAGGCCCCCGAGCCGTGCAGGTATGTACACCTTACCAACCCAGTCCCTCAGGAGGAGCCCTCCAGGGCCTGGAGGCGAGTCCCCAAGTGTCCCAGAGACTGCTGTCAGCGGGCAAAGGAGGGGCGGGCCCGTCTCCTGTTCTGCACTGCGGCGCCCAGGTCCGCGCTGCCCTCCACGGTCTCCTCCTTCTTCCGCACCTTGAGGTGCGTGAGCAGCTGGATCAGCCAGACGTCCCACTCCTCGGGCAGGAGCAGCAGCAGGAAGCCCAGGCCGATGATGATGATGGCGATGACCCGGACTCCGTTGAAGGAGATCTCTGTGGTGTAGTGATCGACCACTGCAGAGGCAGAGAACAGGGTTACTCAGCCGGAAGCCAGGCGGCGGGGGACGCGGGGTGGGTCTGCCCAGGATGGCGGGGGATAAAGGGGGGGTCCCAGGATGGCGGGGGATGCGGGGTGGGTCTGCCCAGGGTGGTGGGGGACGCGGGGTGGGTCCCAGGATGGCAGGGGATAAAGGGGGGTCCCAGGATGGCGGGGGACGTGGGGCGGGTCTTCCCAGGGTGGTGGGGGACGCGGGGTGGGTCCCAGGATGGCAGGGGATAAAGGGGGGGTCCCAGGATGGCGGGGGACGCGGGGTGGGTCTTCCCAGGGTGGTGGGGGACGCGGGGTGGGTCCCAGGATGGCAGGGGATAAAGGGGGGGTCCCAGGATGGCGGGGGATGTGGGGTGGGTCTGCCCAGGATGGCGGGGGACGTGGGGTGGGTCTTCCCAGGGTGGTGGGGGATGCAGGGTGGGTCCCAGGATGGCAGGGGATAAAGGGGGGGTCCCAGGATGGCGGGGGATGTGGGGTGGGTCTGCCTAGGGTGGCGAGGGACACGGGGTGGGCCTCAGGGTGGGGGGCCTGTGGCAGGAAGCTGTCTCCTTGTGGCCACAGAACCCTCCTCACTTTGGTCCTGCCCCAGGTGGGCAGGGGCGGCCTCTCGGTCCCCCTCCCTGGCTCTGGCAGGAGGCCTCGTCTTGTGCTGGCCTCTCCCGTGACCTAGTTCGGACACCATTTGTTATGCACACACTGGGGCACAACAGGTTCGGATGGAAAAGAACGTGATGAGGGGCACCAGCGATGCGGCAGGAAGCTGTGCTCTGTGCTCACTGCTGGGACCTCACGCTGCCCACCCTGTGTCCCCAGAGCTGCTGTGGCACCTCCCAGTGGCAGGGTCATGAAATGTGACTGTTTCCTGATATTTTTGGTACTTTTTACATTTTGTACAACCGGTTATTCTTGTAATTTAGGAGCATTATTTCACCATGTATGCACCTCTCACTGTTTTGAAGACCAAACTTGAACTGGGCTTGTGAAGATAACAAATATAAATTCGTGGCCCACCCAGGACATTGTCAGTGTGAGGCCCGAATGCCAACGGTGTCATGGCCCCCGGGGCTCACGGCTCATCCTCGACCCACTGGGTAAGGAACAAAATGCGAAACAGGATCCGCACGTCCGTTAATAAAGTCCAGATCATGCTTCTCCTCTGGGCCCCGGAGCATGCAGGCATCGAGGGACCCCGTCTTTCTTCGTAGCGGAACCAGACAAAGCGAACTGGGAGGCTGCCTCTGAACACCGGGCTGCGTTTCTCTCTTCTGTGGTTTGTGAGTTTCCTTTCTTCAGGGAGAGCTTTTGAACACCCGTGGGCCGGGCTGCCCAGCAGGCTCCACGCGGTGGGGGCCCGGCAGCTGCGTGTGAGGCCTGCCCCTGCTCCACTCGGCTGGAGGGTGGGCCGAAAAGGGGTAACAGGAGCAAAGTAACCCTGAAAAACTGAAATCCAAGTGCCTCTTGTATCCCACTGTAACAGAAACGCTTACTCCTCGAGGTTGGGAGAACATTCTGTGACTCAGCAGATGGGGATGGCCCTCCAGCAAGTCACCTAAGCTGGCCGGCGACCCGCCAAGGCACCGCCGAGCGCCAGCTCAGGGGACAGCAGACCCCTCACTGCTCCCCTGGGTGCTTCCTCGTCACCCCCGGAGCCTGTTCTGCCGCAGGTGAGGAGCGACTTCGCGGAGCCGCTCAGACATCTGGCTGTAGGATGGGGCCACATGAGCCTGTGAGGGCCGCGTGGTCTGCCTCCGGCGACAGCTGTGACGGGACGTGCGCGGTGGCAGGGGCAGGTTGGTGGGCTCCTTTCCAGAAGGCTGCGGTGTGAGCAGATGGACAGGCGGCCACTCTGTGGCCTCCAGGAGCTCATGGGCTTCTGCACTCGGAACTGCTGCCTCCTACACGGCTCCAGTTGGTTCTCAGGCCACCCAAGGCGATAGGGCGTACGCCCTGCCCTTCCGGGGTACGAGCTGCGGCTCAGAGAGCTGATGAGTTGGGACCACGGTCCCCCAGGTGGGCAGAGGTGGTGCCTGTCCCAACGCCCAGCCAGGCTGCTCTGAGGCACGCCTGGAGGAGAGTCCAGGGCAGGTGGGGGAAACCAAGTCACAGAAAGGGCCTGAGACTGAGAAATGCCCGGCCTGGGCTTGCAGGCGTCAACAGCTCATCCACAGGCAAGTGTCTGCTTCCCTGATGTGCACCTCTAATGGCCTGCATGTGGGGGGCGGTCCAGAAATGGCTTTGGGGGAGCTGTGCCAGGCACTGGGATGAGTCCTGGTGGGGGCGGGGGAGCTACCCACAAAACACCCTGGCTGAGGATGCGCTGTGCAGGGTGCGAGGCAGGCGGGCTCCGGGAAGAACACCCTAAGTTCACAGGAGGCGGAGCCAGAAGGGAGGTGAGCGGCAGGTGGACCCATGTCTCTGAAGAGCTGGGTGCAAGGGGACCCCTGTGGCAAACAAGGTCCTGAGCAACCGGGAAAGGGGCCCTCTGGGAGGAGGGGGGCGTGTCCCACTCTCCCTGTCATATCCTGAGCACATCTTCTCTCCAGAAAGTGACTTACAAACATTAACACTTTTTCTGCAACAGGATTCTTTTCTACCCTTGTCCATAATATTAATGGCACTCATCTCTGATCCCCGTACCACTCAGAACGGAGAAGGGTTCAGACTTTCTGCAGGGTCAGGGTGGGGCGTGAACAGTCCATTCTGGAGAAACGATCGCACACGCAGACGTCACCCCTGCGCCTGAGGCTGTCTTCCGAGCGGGCAGTGTGCGCGTCCCTGGCACTGCGGGCACCAGTGAACACGCATGCCTGTGCGTGCTGGTGCGTGCTGGTGTGTGTGCGCATGCGTGTCTGTTTACAAACGGCGCAGAGAGCCGCACAGACCTACCTGCATTCACAGGTACACTGAGGACGATTCCAAGAGACATCAGAGTGGGATATGTAACAGCAATTCCAAAGTTTAACACGATATTGAATGCTGAAATACAGGAAAACAAGAGGGTGTTCCCCACGACCGGCCCGGGCTGTAGCCCCTCTGTGCTGGCTGCCCTCGGCTCTGACTCCATGAATTCGGGTCTGGCAAGGGCTCCGGGATGTGGGGACAGAGGACACACATCCCAATTACTCAGCTCCTTTCTTCCCGAGCCCGGAAGAAAGGAAAGACATCTGGGAAAGGTGGCCAGTGAGGAGGGGCCGGGAGAGAGGACACGGCCTCTCAGGCGTGTCTCCCTGTGGCTGGTGAGGACTCGGGCTGACTGTGGACAGCTCGGATGTGCATTTCAGACACAGGCAACGAGGCCCCTCCTGGCTGCACTTCTGCCCAGCATCGGCCTTTTCTCAAACGATGCTGATGATGACATCAGTGATGACAACTGACAATATGCACTGAGGCTGACACTTCTCCGTGTCCAGCAAAGTCAGTTCCAGAGCTGCTGTTCGATTAGAACACCCGAGAGCTCGGCTCGCACAGCCCACCGGCTCCTCGCCAGCCACGAGGGGCGCTGTCCCCACAGGCGTCGTGCAGCCCACGGACAGTCAGCTCACCACCCAGAGCAGCAGTGACCACAGCACCATGGCAGCCACGTGGTTCTGGAGCTGGAATCTAGGGTCCTCGTCACAGAGGTGACACAGGAGGACCTGGCACCGCACAGGGAGCTGAGGGCAGCAGGGGGCCCTTTTCCTTCCTCCAGGTAGGCACAGGCTGCCCACGGTCCAGCCCCTCGGCCACCCCGGGTTCCCCAAGGCCCAGCCCCTCGGCCGCCCCGGGTTCCCCCAGGCCCAGCCCCTCGGCCACCCCCACAGGAGCCTGGTGGGCAAGCGCACTCACTCAGCAGGAGGACTGAGAACCCGCAGAGGTTCCCCCAGGGAATGCTGCTGAGGGGGCCCCAGTCCTCCACTTTGGTGAAGTAGAGGACGACAGGGATGCAGGTGATGAACAGGACGTTGAACACTCCCAGCACGGACAGGAATAAGGCGGCTTCTCCGAACTTCGCTCCGCCCAGGAGGAGCTTGAACAGAACCTGTGGAGGAAGCAGAGAGCAGGGCTGCGGGCCCCCGAGGACGCCGCCTGCCAGAGGGGGAGCGGAGCTCCGAGCCCAGGGCGCCCCGACAGCCTCTGCTGAGCAAGCCTCCGACCACCCTCCGCACCCCCAGCACAGCTCAGTGACGTCACAGTGACATCTGTCGCAGTGGAGGGTCCTCGCCATTTCCGAGAGGGACCCCTTCAGGAACTGGGCTCACACTTGTCTGCGCTGTTGTGCTGTGTTCACACCGTACCCCAACTTCAGAGCATCAGCACAAAAGAGAAGTATCGGCCAGGAGCACACGGCCTCTCGGGGACCCACAGACTGACCTCCCGCTCTCTACCCCACCGCTCTGAGGCCGCCCCCAAAACGCGGGGCTCTGGCGCAGAGACGTCTATAAGTCCAAGGTGGAGAGATGGCTCATATCTCATCTGCTCCGCCCCCGCCCAGACATGGCACGGCTCCAGGGGAGGCACCGGCTTCGACTCCTGCACCTGCGCGTGCACGTACATGGAAGGCCGGGAGAGGACCGAGGTGCCTGGAGCGGCCCGGAGCACAAGCTGGTCCAGCCTGTGTCTCGTGAACCCCCACAAAGAACTGGTGGTGTCTGTGTTTTTTCCCTCCTCCTTTTCCTTTTTCAACCTTTCCCGACTCTCAGCTGTGTCTGGGTCTGTGTGCAGGAAGCATCGAAAGGAAATGAACCGCTTTCAGCCTCCACCTCCGGCCCCCCTGGACCAAGATCACGGAGGAGGTGGAGGCGGAGCGTCGTCGGAACCTGTGTTCACGGTGGACCCCCCCCACGTGCTGTCTGCTGCCCGTGGGCACAGCCCGTCGAGGGGCAGGGTGCTCTGACTTGCAGGGTGGCCGTGAGCCTGGGATTGGCCTCCGCGTGCTGTGGGTGCAGCGTGTTTCAGAGGGAAGAGGATGCGTGTGCCCCGCGGGCAGCGAGGGCAGGGAGCTCGAGGAGGATGGGTTGTCATTTCATGTCCCCAACATGAGAGGTGTTGCTCACAGAACTGGACAAAGTGCTTTTCCTATGACTTTCTAAAGTCCTTAATTTTCTCTGGATCCACAAGGGGTCAGTAAGTCTCAAAGCTAAAAATCTAATTTCTCATTGAGTCCCCAGGTCAGGTTCCCAACCTGGAGACCAGAAAGTATTTGCATTCTTCCCTGTGGCTCTAAGGAGAAAGGAGGAGGGGAGGAGGGGAGGAGGGGAGGAGGGGAGGAAGGAGGGAGGGAGGAAGGAGGAAGGGAGGAAGGAGGAAGGGAGGAAAGAGGAAGGGAGGAAGGAAGAAGGGAGAAAGGGAGGAAGGAGGAAGGGAGGAAAGAGGAAGGGAGGAAGGAAGAAGGGAGAAAGGGAGGAAGGAGGAAGGGAGGAAAGAGGAAGGGAGGAAAGAGGAAGGGAGGAAGGAAGAAGGGAGAAAGGGAGGAAGGAGGAAGGGAGGAAAGAGGAAGGGAGGAAAGAGGAAGGGAGGAAGGAAGAAGGGAGAAAGGGAGGAAGGAGGAAGGGAGGAAAGAGGAAGGGAGGAAGGAAGAAGGGAGAAAGGGAGGAAGGAGGAAGGGAGGAAAGAGGAAGGGAGGAAAGAGGAAGGGAGGAAGGAAGAAGGGAGAAAGGGAGGAAGGAGGAAGGGAGGAAAGAGGAAGGGAGGAAGGAAGAAGGGAGAAAGGGAGGAAGGAGGAAGGGAGGAAAGAGGAAGGGAGGAAAGAGGAAGGGAGGAAGGAAGAAGGGAGAAAGGGAGGAAGGAGGAAGGGAGGAAAGAGGAAGGGAGGAAAGAGGAAGGGAGGAAGGAAGAAGGGAGAAAGGGAGGAAGGAGGAAGGGAGGAAAGAGGAAGGGAGGAAAGAGGAAGGGAGGAAGGAGGAAGGGAGAAAGGGAGGAAGGGGGTAAGGGAGGAAGGAGGAAGGGAGGAAGGGAGGAAGGAGGAAGGGAGGAAGGAGGAAGGGAGGAAGGAAGAAGGGAGAAAGGGAGGAAGGGGGTAAGGGAGGAAGGAGGAAGGGAGGAAGGGAGGAAGGAGGAGGGAGGAAGGAGGAGGGAGGAAGGAAGAAGGGAGAAAGGGAGGAAGGAGGAAGGGAGGAAGGAGGAGGGAGGAAGGAGGAAGGGAGGAAGGAAGAAGGGAGAAAGGGAGGAAGGAGGAAGGGAGGAAGGAGGAGGGAGGAAGGAGGAAGGGAGGAAAGAGGAAGGGAGGAAAGAGGAAGGGAGGAAGGAAGAAGGGAGAAAGGGAGGAAGGGGGTAAGGGAGGAAGGAGGAAGGGAGGAAGGAGGAAGGGAGGAAGGGAGGAAGGAGGAGGGAGGAAGGAGGAAGGAGGAAGGGAGGAAGGAGGAGGGAGGAAGGAGGAAGGGAGGAAGGAGGAAGGGAGGAAGGGAGGAAGGAGGAGGGAGGAAGGAGGAAGGAGGAAGGGAGGAAGGAGGAGGGAGGAAGGAGGAAGGGAGGAAGGAGGAAGGGAGGAAGGAAGAAGGGAGAAAGGGAGGAAGGGGGTAAGGGAGGAAGGAGGAGGGAGGAAGGAGGAAGGGAGGAAGGAGGAAGGGAGGAAGGGAGGAAGGAGGAAGGGAGGAAGGGAGGAAGGAGGAAGGGAGGAAGGGAGGAAGGAGGAGGGAGGAAGGAGGAAGGGAGGAAAGAGGAAGGGAGGAAAGAGGAAGGGAGGAAGGAAGAAGGGAGAAAGGGAGGAAGGGGGTAAGGGAGGAAGGAGGAAGGGAGGAAGGGAGGAAGGGGGTAAGGGAGGAAGGAGGAAGGGAGGAAGGGAGGAAGGAGGAGGGAGGAAGGAGGAAGGGAGGAAGGAGGAAGGGAGGAAGGAGGAAGGGAGGAAGGAGGGTAAGAGCAGCCAGGAGGAAGGACCAGCTGGGGAGAAACAGGGAAGGGGCAGTGTGGGCAGGAAAAGCCGTTTCATCGGGACCTGCAGGACGGACATGCTTCACAATGGTAAGACAGTCTGTTCAGAACACCTGCTGTGCCCGCGGCGGGGTGTCAGGAGCAGGGGGACTGTGCTGAGAGCTGGTGGCTGCAAGACGAGTGACAGAGGACTGACGCCCAGGCTGCACTGACAGTGGGTCCTCTGTCTGGTCTGGTGGGAAATCACCTTACCAGCCACGTAGGGTCGCTGGCCCCTCTCCAGCCCTGGCCAGTCGCTCAGCTCACCCCGCAGAACCACTGTCCCCCCACTGTGTCTGACATGCTACGAAGGCTTGGCCACTGAGGGGAGGCCTGGAGAGCTGAAGCCCAGGGGCCAGAGCTCAGCAGTCTCCCCTGCCCCCCGACAGGGAGCAGAGCCCCTCCTGAGGCACAGACACCGGGTGGGCTCCCGTGGTGCTGGGCGGCCGCGCGGAGCCCTGTGCCCGCTGCTCCGAGGGCTCGCCGCCTTACCTTGTAGAGGGCGGACATGGACGCGGAGCCCACCACCAGCGCTATGCCCATGACCGTGTGGCTGTGGAAGCCGTCCGCGTAGGTCATCATCACGATCCCGGCGATGGCGAGGATGGCGGCCACGATCTGGGGGAGGAGGACATGGGTCAGACCGAGGTGGGAGTCCAGGGCCCACCTGCGTGCCCAGGACATCAGTCCACGTGCAGCCAGGCGCTGGGCGGGAGCGGACTCCATGGTCCTCCTGGAGAAGTAGCAGCAAGGGCTGCCCCATCTACACCTCGCTCCTGTGCAGATGGACGAAGCCTGCGGAGCCGCGGCCCTGAGACAGCCGGCGGCAAGGACAGCACGTGGTTAGTGCCACATGGTGGCAGTTGGCCCTGGTTCTTGGGAACTTCAGGAGGTGGCCACAGTCCCCGTGATGGCTGTGTGGTCCTGGCAGGGCCTGGCCGGCAGCACCTGGACAGCTCCGGACAATGGTCCCTTCCCGACCCTGGGAAGTGCTCCTGTGACCTTGCTTCTGGGCAGTTCCCATCTCCGCTGCCAGGGCGCAGGGAGGACCACAGAGCCCGCTCACAGGCCCGCAGCGGGGCTTCCGGCCGGGCTCACGTCCCCTGGTCCCCTGCCCGGGACGGCCACAGACCGTGTCCCAACCCTAGAGATGCCTTCTTTCCTTCTCTGCCACAGGTGCCCCACCCACAGCTCCCCTCAACCCCGCCCCCTGGACAAGCCCAAAGGTGGAAGGGGTGCCAGGGAGGCCCACCCTCCTGCTGTGCGAAGTGGACCCTGAAGTGCCCAAGAGACGAGGTACCTGGGGTGACGCTCTGAGGGAGGGATGCCTGCCTGCGGGTCGGAGCTCCCTCACTGTGGGGGCGCATGGAAGGGCAGAGCACACGTGCAACACAAGCTGCAGCTCCTGGGTTTCAGGAGCATTTCAACCCTCTGCAGATCACTCGCACTGACCTCAGCGCCTTGGACGGTATCACAGAGCCGGCATTTACCGGGCAGCCCTCGGAGCTCTGTTTTCCATGCATTTTCTCCTTTTACCCTCAAAATAGGTAGATCTTTTCCTTCATTTCATCTTATAGACTTGAAAACGGGTTCAGAGAGGTTCAGGAACTCGCCACAGTCCCGGAGCAGGGTAGCAGAGCAGGGGCAATCTCAGGGCGACTGCAAGTCAGGGCCCAGGCACAGAAACAGGACTGTGTGGTCCACACAAGCCGCCACGGACCACATTCCAAGGTGGTCAGGCTGGCGGAGGTGGTCTCGAGGCCAGACCGCGCCGAGTCGCAGGCTGACCCGGTGTGGTCCTCCTTCCACATTCTCACGTGAGGACACACCACATGAGGCCAAGAGCGCCGCCTGCCCTGTCGTCTGTCCTGCTCTTTGGGGCAGTCTGTCCAGCCAGCAGACCCTCTGCTTCCCAGGCCGCATGCGTTTCGTGTCCACATGTACTGTGGACAGCTCTTCCTTAGGAGAGCGACAGAGACAGCGAGTCCATGCGATTTTCCCAGGAGAACAGGAGGACCAGGGCACAGCGGCAGCAGGGCGGCCGCTCCACAGGACTCGGTCATGCCCAGGTGCTGCTCGGGAAACCCGGGCCCACTGCAGCCTCGGCCCAGGTGCCGCTCGGGAAACCCGAGCCCACAGCAGCCTCGGCCCAGGTGCCCCTCGGAACCACTGGGCCCACAGCAGCCTCGGCCCAGGTGCCGCTCAGGAAACCCGGGCCCACTGCAGCCTCGGCCCAGGTGCCCCTCGGAACCACTGGGCCCGCAGCAGCCTCAGCCCAGGTGCCCCTCGGAACCACTGGGCCCGCAGCAGCCTCGGCCCAGGTGCCGCTCGGGAAACCCGAGCCCACAGCAGCCTCGGCCCAGGTGCCCCTCGGAACCACTGGGCCCACAGCAGCCTCGGCCCAGGTGCCGCTCGGGAAACCCGGGCCCACTGCAGCCTCGGCCCAGGTGCCCCTCGGAACCACTGGGCCCGCAGCAGCCTCGGCCCAGGTGCCCCTCGGAACCACTGGGCCGGCTGCAGCCTCAGAGAGAAAAGGAACAGGAGGAAGGAGGGAGAGAGGGGGAACACGGTGCATTCCTGAGCCTCTCCCCTACGCCATGTTGGAGGAAGTGAAGGAGAAGGGCCCCTGGGCCCTGGGTCCGAGTTGGCCGACGCCCAGCCCCTCCTCCCCTCCCGGTGGATTACACAGCACAGCTGGGAGCTGCTGGGCCCAGGGAGGCGAGCGCTGAGGGAAGGGGCAGGGGTACAGACCGTGGTCCCTGCGTCCATCTGACGGGGCATTGGGGCATCAGGAGACAGTGACCCCCCTTCACGCAGTCACAGGATGGACTCTGCGGCCTGGGCACCCCCTCTCGGCAGTGGCACTGACACTGGCACTGGCAGCCCCGCTGGCCCAGCTCTGAGGGGGAGCCCCTGGCTCTCAGAGCCCCTCACAGCAGAATGGGGGTGAGGCAGACCCGGGGGTGGGGGCAGCCCAGAGCCCCCTCAAGCTTCTCCGAGGACCCGTCCGTCCTAAGGACGCACACGGCACACCTCACACCAGCACACCTGGGCCCCTGCCCCACGGCCTCTCCAGGAGGGTCACACGCCTCCCGGAGCCTCCTGCGCCCCGTGTGCCCTGCCTCCCGGAGTGGGCCCTGAGTCTCAGATGGACAGAGACAGCAGAACCCCTCATCCCCACGCGCTCCTGCTCCCACTCTCCTGTGCCCCCCTTCGACTCCCACCGAGCTGTCCTGAAACACAGACCTGGGGACCCAGCCTGAGGGGACCATGGCGAGACCAGAGGACGAGTGCCATCTCCACCTGCGCTGGAAGAGGAAGGAACAGGCGCGGGAGACCCTGGAGCCAGCACACTGCCACTGAGTGTCCCGAGGGGCCTCAGCCCGCCACCCTGCCCTGCCAACCGGGCGGGCTTCAGCCCAGAAACTCATCGATATGCCATCCGCACTTCCCGAGGTGCGGGGCGCAATTCCCCTAAGACACAGGGCGCACTTCCCCCAGGCATGCTTCCCCCTAAAGCACAGGGCACACTTCCCCTCAGGCACAGGGCGCACTTCCCCCAGGCGCGGGGCGCACTTCCCCTCAGGCGCGGGGCGCACTTCCCTCAGGCACGGGGCGCACTTCCCCCAGGCACAGGCGCACTTCCCCTCAGGCACAGGCGCACTTCCCTCAGACACAGGCGCACTTCCCCCAGGCGCGGGGCGCACTTCCCCTCAGGCACGGGGCGCACTTCCCCTCAGGCGCGGGGCACACTTCCCCCAGGCACGGGGCGCACTTCCCCTCAGGCACAGGCGCACTTCCCCTCAGGCACGGGGCGCACTTCCCCCTCAGGCACGGGGCGCACTTCCCCTCAGGCACAGGCGCACTTCCCCTCAGGCACAGGCGCACTTCCCTCAGGCACGGGGCACACTTCCCCCAGGCACGGGGCGCACTTCCCCTCAGGCACAGGCGCACTTCCCTCAGGCACGGGGCACACTTCCCCCAGGCACGGGGCGCACTTCCCCCAGGCACGGGGCGCACTTCCCCTCAGGCACAGGCGCACTTCCCTCAGACACAGGCGCACTTCCCTCAGACACAGGCGCACTTCCCCTCAGGCGCGGGGCGCACTTCCCTCAGACACAGGCGCACTTCCCCTCAGGCGCGGGGCGCACTTCCCCTCAGGCGCGGGGCGCACTTCCCTCAGACACAGGCGCACTTCCCCCAGGCGCGGGGCGCACTTACCTCAGACACAGGCGCACTTCCCCCAGGCGCGGGGCGCACTCCCCCCCCCCTCCTCCCCCCCCCCCCCCGGCGCGGGGCGCACTTCCCCCTCAGGCGCGGGGCGCACTTCCCCCAGACACAGGCGCACTTCCCCCTCAGGCGCGGGGCGCACTCCCCCCCAGGCGCGCACTCTCCCCCAGGCGCGGGGCGCACTCCCCCCCAGGCGCAGGGCGCACTCCCCCCCAGGCGCAGGGCGCACTCCCCCCCAGGCGCGGGGCACACTTCCCCCTCAGGCGCGGGGCGCACTTCCCCTCAGACACGGGCGCACTTCCCCTCAGGCGCGGGGCGCACTTCCCCCTCAGGCGCGGGGCGCACTTCCCCCTCAGGCGCGGGGCGCACTTCCCCTCAGGCGCGGGGCGCACTTCCCCCTCAGGCGCGGGGCGCACTTCCCCCTCAGGCGCGGGGCGCACTTCCCCTCAGGCGCGGGGCGCACTTCCCTCAGACACAGGCGCACTCCCCCTCAGGCGCGGGGCGCACTTCCCCCTCAGGCGCGGGGCGCACTTCCCCCTCAGGCGCGGGGCGCACTTCCCCCTCAGGCGCGGGGTGCACTTCCCCCAGACACAGGCGCACTCCCCCTCAGGCGCGGGGCGCACTTCCCCCAGACACAGGCGCACTCCCCCTCAGGCGCGGGGCGCACTTCCCCCAGACACAGGCGCACTCCCCCTCAGGCGCGGGGCGCACTTCCCCCTCAGGCGCGGGGCGCACTTCCCCCTCAGGCGCGGGGCGCACTTCCCCCAGACACAGGCGCACTCCCCCTCAGGCGCGGGGCGCACTTCCCCCTCAGGCGCGGGGCGCACTCCCCCTCAGGCGCGGGGCGCACTTCCCCCAGACACAGGCGCACTCCCCCTCAGGCGCGGGGCGCACTTCCCCCTCAGGCGCGGGGCGCACTTCCCCCTCAGGCGCGGGGCGCACTTCCCCCAGGCGCGGGGCGCACTCCCCCTCAGGCGCGGGGCGCACTCCCCCCAGGCGCGGGGCGCACTTCCCCCTCAGGCGCGGGGCGCACTTCCCCTCAGGCGCGGGGCGCACTTCCCTCAGACACAGGCGCACTTCCCCCTCAGGCGCGGGGCGCACTTCCCCCTCAGGCGCGGGGCGCACTTCCCCTCAGGCGCGGGGCGCACTTCCCTCAGACACAGGCGCACTTCCCCCCGGCGCGGGGCGCACTTCCCCCCGGCGCGGGGCGCACTTCCCTCAGGCACGGGGTGCACTTCCCTCAGGCACGGGGTGCACTTCCCCTCAGGTTTAGGGTGCACGTCCCCCCGGCGCGGGGCGCACTTCCCCCCGGCGCGGGGCGCACTTCCCCCCGGCGCGGGGCGCACTTCCCTCAGGCGCAGGGTGCACTTCCCCCCAGGTGTGGAGTGCACTTCCCTCAGGCATGGGGTGCACATCCCCACAGCTTTGGGGCGCAGGGATGCTAGCTGTGGTGGAGCGGGAAGGGCACCCCAGCTGTGAGGTCAGGCCACCTCCCTGACCAGGCCGCTGCCCACTTTTGCTGACCTGTGACAAGGTGCAGAAGCAGAGCCCCTTTGTGATACTTTTAGACCTGGACAGTTTGGGAAATGAGAAAGGGAAGGACAGACTAATTTTTGAATGTTCTCCCTGACACTTTCCCTCCCAACTCCTGGACTGTTCACATGGACTCAGATATTAGCGTCTGGAGGGACTCAGAGCCTCTAGTTTATCCCAACTGGATAGGGGCCTGGAGGGGCGGGGCCGTGGCCCCAGGGCTCCCCCAGGGTCCTCCAGGCCTGTGGCAGGGGACAGCCTCCCTAACAGAAGGGTCAGGTCACAAGCCAGGGTCACCTTTCCGGGTGGGCCCCTGCGAAACACTGAGCAGGAGCTGGAGCTTGGCTGAGACCACCTGGCCATGGACAAAGTCCAGGGTCCCACAGGACGACCTGGGCTGGTCTTCTGCCTCAGTCCCTCCTGGGCTGAACACTGGAGCTGCCCGGATGGTAAGAACCACCTCTGAGCGGGCAGACGACCCATCTTCCATTTCCCCTGAGCGGACGGGATGGGCTCGCCCAGTGCCTTTCTCACCCAGCTGCCAGCCACTGCCCGGTGTGGTCTGTGTCGGGAGGGGCCGTGCCCACGCCCCAGGGTCCTCCGCCCTCATTCCCGCTGCTTCCTCCCCACAGAACTGCTGGCGGGTCCTGGCTCCAAGGGGGCGTGTGTCATCCACTGAGTTTTACGGGCCAGGCGGCCGTTCCCCAGATGAGTGCTAACTAACAGGCTGTTTGGAAATGGGGCAAGTAAGGCTCAGAGATGTTAAGTCACTTGCTCCAGGTTCAACAACTTGTAAGAGTGGAACCAAGATTCAAACTTGACCCCAGACTGGACCTTCCTGTGGTGTGTCCCCGAGTCTGAAGCCAGGGCAACAGGAAGAGCACGTGGAGGCACCGAGTCACCAGATGACACCAGGGCCAGCTCGGGCTCCTTTCAACAGTCACTTCACACTGGCTTCTTCCCCTCTGGTGACAGTACCTGCAGCTGCCCATGTTTCCGACCGCAGTCCTTGTGGTCTTAGTAAGACGGGTCCCCTCTGCAGTGTGTTCCCAGACTGATGCTCTGCCCCTTTCATCTGGTGGCTCAAGCTTGCATGCTCAGCCCTCCAGGACGGGGACAGTGTGGTTCCCTTCAGTTCTTGGAAACGACCCGGTGGAAGGTGCTAGCTAACCCAGCACCTGAGAGAAGTCTGAGCAAACCCGTGCACCAGGTGCGTGTTATCGGGGGTGGAAATCTCCATCTGCTTACCAAGGGGAGGCGTGTCTTCTGGCCAGCTGCCCAAGCCGCACAGAGTTTGCTCACTCTCTGAATCCCTGAAGACGACAAGGGGCAACCACCCTGGCTTAGAGGGGGCCTCTCAGACCACGGGCGACATCCTTCTAGGAGGGACGATCATTAGAGACCAAAGTTCCACCAGAGCCAGCTCTGTGGCCCTTTGTTCAGCCTGGCCCAGTGCCAGGCTTCAATGCAACACATTTCCACACGCAGTGGTCAGCACAACCCACACTGACCGCGTGGCTAGGATGGCCAGAGTACACCAGTTCAGGGACGCGAGGGGAAACCCCTGAGCCATGTAAGCAACGAGAAAGATCGGGTGTGCCTCATTGTTCTCCGCGTCTCCGAGGACTTCATGTATGTTCCCACCTCCTTCTCTTAACCTCAGAACATTTCTGTTTTTGGGTGTTTACATACAGAATGAACCCCCAATGTCTTCCCAGTAGCTGGATCTCGTCTGGAATTTGCTTTGGACATCAGTAAGTTCCAGGAATCCCCTTGGCTCTTCGCATCAAAATAAATCACACGGGGCACGCGTTGGTGGCAAGGGCCCCGACACCAGGTCTTCAGGGTCAGCCAGGAAGGCTGTCTGCATCACTGCCTGAACTCCTTGGGGAGATGTATCAGATCATTTATTTGCTGAAAACTTTTCTGGGTTTTCAGTGAGTTCCAAAATTAACACTAAGCCTGAAAACAAACTTCTCCCCTCCTGCAAGCTAAAAATACTGCTCAGCATTGACTCATGTCCGCACTGCCTGATAACTGGGTGGGCATGAATCAGCCACTTGAGTGATGTCATCATCCCCCGACAGGAGCGAAGGGCACAGGGGAGGGCCCTGCCTGGGCTCTGTGCCTCCTGTGTGGCCGCGTGGTCTCAGGGCAGCAAGGACTGAGATGCTCTGACCATAGGACAACCAGATGTGTGTCCTTGTTTGTGGCAAGAGGTTCACAGGGCAATAGCAGCTCTTGGCCAGCAGAGGGAGACAAGCAGAAGTCACTAGGACTCTGTCAAGGCTAAATGTCACCTGGTCCTTCTATTCAGGGTGTCTCTGTATTTCAGCTGACATCCGATCTGCATTTATCCGATTTCATAGAACTGTGATAAAACTGGAATAGCTAAACTTGACTCGATTTTAATGGAATTCACTGAGTTTCGGTTGTAACAAGAAGAGGTCATTCAAGGGATGTCATTTCACTGCCCCTGGGGTGGGGCGTGCAGGAAGAGGCACTGTCCTTCCAAGTCGGGATGTAGCACAAGCATGCTGGGCCGAGAGCTCGGGCTGAGCACGCAGACGGGCCCACCTCCAGCCGGGCTGGGCCCTGCCGGGCACACACTTTAGGGAATGCTTGTTGAGATGCTTGGAATGAAAGCTGCTTTCATGGATGCTTGTCTAGCATGGTTTGCAAGCAAGAAGGTTTGCAAGGCGTGCCAAGAACCGGGCCCTCCGCCCGGCGCCTTTCGGCTGCAAATCAGAGGAGTGGTCAGCAGCTGGGCGTGTGGCCCAGCACACGAGGCTAAGCGAGCCATGGGCAGGCTGGGGCGGCATGAGGGAGGGAAGGAGACAGAGAACGAGGAACTTACCCTCACGCCCATGAACCTGTCCCTGAGAACGATCCACGAGAGCAAGAACACAAAAGCTTTGTTGCAGCAGAAGAGCACGGAGGCGTCCGTGGCGTTAATTTTCTTTATTGCGTGTAAGTACAGGTAGTTTGTGAGGGTCCAAAGAACACCAAAGGGTGCTGCCTTGGTAAAAAACACCTTCAAAGTCAAGCCATTGTCTCCAAAAAACCGACAGCATTCCCTAAAACAGGAAAGAAGGCAGTGTTATTATATTCATAGATTTTCCTTCACCCAGTCTTGTTTTATTTTTTTTTAATTTGTATTTTTCGTTAATCCTCACCCAAGGATATTTGTCCATTGATTTTTGATAGAGTGGAGGGGAGGGAGGGAGGGAGGGAGAGAGAGGAGAAAGGGAAAAACATCGATATGAGACACAGGGTGACTGGCTGTGCCCAGCACAACGCCAGCCGGGGCCCGGGATCGAACCTGCAACCCAGGTGATGTTGGGGGTGTCTGACACGAAGGGGGCCCAGTTCTACCGGGACCACAGGACAGGTTCTGTCACTTGCTGAGAAAGTGAAGGAAGTTACTAGTCACTGGACTTTTTTTTTTTTTCTCCTTTATTGATTTTAGAGAGAGAGGAAGAGAGAGGGAGAGAGAGAGCAACATGGATGAGAGAGAACATCAACTGGCCGCCTCCTGCACGCCCCCCACTGAGGATCGGGCCCACAACCTGGGCATGTGTCCTGACCAGGAATCGAACCAGCGACCTCTTGGTGCAGGGTCGATGCTCAACCGCTGAGCCACACTGGCTGGACCACTGGATTTATTTTTAAGGGGAAGGTTGGAGACTTGAAGACTTTCAGTTTATAAAATTTAGCCCCAAACTGCAATTGTCTCTGTGGTCAGGCAGGGGGTCATTTCTTGGGCACATCCGATTCCTTTTGGCTCTGATGCACGGGTGTCAGCTATGTCCACACTTTCTCCAGGGGCGTTTTCAGTCCGTTCCACCTCGCGGACGTTCGCGGGCCCTGCCGTCGAAGAGGCTGACGGGAGAAAAGAGCAGGTCCAAGAATTTGGCATCTCGAGAGGCAGCGAGATGAGAAAACACCTGCAGAGGAAAGGTTTTCAACGCCCGTCTAGAGTCCAGGGCAGGGCCATCGCTGTTTGAAAAACCACGCAGGAAAAACAAAGCCGACTCTCCACTCGCAGAGGACAGTAGAGGAGGCCGGGGAGAGTGTGGGGAGACCCTGGGGGGAGCGCAGTCCACAGAGCGCGGTGCCCCAGGTGCTCTGCTGGCCTGAGAGCCGGTGAGGACGAGCAAGGACCCACCGCGCCCACAGCCACCGCCGCCTCCCCATCACCTCCTTGACATCCATCACCCCCCCCCGCCATCACCCCACTATATCCATCACCCCCTCCAGCCATCACCCCTCCAGCCATCGCCCCTCCAGCCATCGCCCCCTCCAGCCATCACCCCCTCCAGCCATCGCCCCTCCAGCCATCGCCCCTCCAGCCATCGCCCCCTCCAGCCATCACCCCTCCAGCCATCGCCCCCTCCAGCCATCGCCCCCTCCAGCCATCGCCCCCTCCAGCCATCACCCCCTCCAGCCATCGCCCCCTCCAGCCATTGCCCCCCCAGCCCTCGGCAGCCAGCCTCAGGGCCCAGCCCAGGAGTGAGGACGCCGTCCGTCCGCGGAAGCAAGCGTGTGCTGACTACAAGACGCAGATAAACTCGGATGGGTCAGAGCTGGGCCTGTGTCACTTACTATTTGAATAAAGCAGTAAAGGATGACAGTAAAGAAAGAATCAGAGGATATTTGGTGTGATTTTAATTTAATTTTGTTTGTTCTTGCCATCAATCCACAGAAGAAACCGAGAACTCACCACCTGTCACTGTTGGAGTCCTGCATTGCTTCTAAACAAACCAGCACCAGGCAAAACATGCGAGTCACTGAATTTACCTCAAAATCAACTGCAGTGATTCCATTTTGGCTTTATATACACGAAACTCTCATCTAACCAATAGGTTGAAATTATGCCTCATAATTTTCATGCAATATTTCGGCGGCATTTTCTGTGGGTGTTCTCAGGCGCCTATTCACAGAACAGCCTTCCTTCCCCGTGCCGGGTGCCTGCGTGCGTGGCCGCAGTGGTGTGAAGTGCTGCCAGTCCGAGAGTATAATCAGGAGGAAACACTTATTCTTCCTGCCGTTTAAGTACCTACTTTATCTAAGAGGAGACCCTGCTTAAGGGAGCACCACGGAAGCGGGGTCTCCAGGTTCCCTCGGACTCACCGTCACTAAACGACTCGTGTTGTGCTAGGAGCCGCCCAAAGCCAAGTGGAAGCTCACACCCTCTCTGAGACCACAGGCGACCCCTCCCACGTGTGATGGTGGGGAGGTGGACAGACACGCTGGCGACAGGGCCCACGCTGGCGACTGGAAGTGGGGAGGGACGTGGGGCTCCACCGGGAGCTGGAGCAGCCAAGACTCCCGGGCCCACAGAGCTCTGGCGCCCCTGAGGTCTCACCACCAGGGGACTGCAGTTCAGACGAGTGGACCTTAGTTCTAATGAGACCAAGATCGGCCCCTGGCCAGCGAGCCTTGTGCTGCTTTAAGACCAAAGACGATGCCCTGCTGCATGCCAGCTGGCTTGCCCACATATGCCCTTGATTGCCAGGCACCCAAGAGAGAGGACGAGCATCAGTCCACCTGCCAGAGGCCTCTTCTTGGACACCAGGAAGAGAGGGAGAGGTGCTCTGTCACGGACCCCCACTGAGCACCTCCGTTCCCCGGCGGGCTCAGGGCCAGCAGGTGGCTCTCCAGTGTCTCAGCCTCTGCTTCCTACAACCGAGGCATGTGCCGGCCAAGGGTTAGTGTATCTGTTTCTAATCCTGCTTGTAACTGTTCTCGGTTATTTCAATGGTAAAATTCAGTTAAATATTTCCTAAACCAATAGGAAGAAGACTTCAAAGAAGACACAGTAAAAGCAAGTCCCTAAAATACTGCTATTGAATTAGAAAATGAAACACTGCGAAGATAAAAATCATAACAATCTGTAAGTTCCACATCATTATTTGACAAACACCTACATTCTTGGTGTTCTCTGAAGAGCCCCAGCTGGGAAGCCTGGCTTGGTGGCATTAGGATGGCTCGTCATGTAATTCGAATCAACAAGCACTTGTCACATCCACACTCCAGACTCGACGCCGTGGCTGATACAGAACAAGTAAACAGTCCCTGCTCTTGAGAAGGTTATGGCGCAACCGGGGACATAGATTGATGCTTCGATAGGAAGCAATGCAAGTTTAAATATAATCACCTATTAGACGGGGTGGAGTATCAAGTGCCCTGGACCTCTCCTGTCTAGGGAGGAAGTTGGACTGACCGGAGAAGGCCTCATAAAAGGTGCGGGTTTTGAGGTGAGTCTTGAAGGACAGGGGGAATTTACACAGTTGGGTATTGGGGGAGAGATACTGTCCTTGGAGAGGTAAGAGAAGTAATTTCATCCATGAAACAAGAACAGATGGCTATAAAAATTATTTAAAAACACCTGAGAGAGTGGTCAAGTCCCTGTGGCTGAAGCTGACACCTGAGCGGAGGCAGCAGCGGGTGGAGTAGCGTGAAGCCAGATGGAGAAACTTTCCTCCACGCACAGGAAGGACACTGCCGCCCAGACAGGTTGTCCAGACACCTGGGCAGACAGCAGCCCTGCTCACCCCTCAGGGAACACGCCCAAAGACATCTTCCTTCTCCACGACACTCCCATCACCACGGACATGTTGAGGCTTGGTAACCTTCCAACATCCCCTAAGCCTCGGTCCAGGCCCTGGCTGGGGTCGTGCGGGGAAAAGCCAATGGGTGTGTCTCTCACATCGATGATTCTCTCTCTCTCTACCCCGCCCTCCCCCAACTCTATCTGAAAATAAATGAAAAAACATCCTTGGGTGAGGATTATAAAAAATACATACACACACACACATACACACACACACATACACACATACATGCACATACACACATATGCACACATACACACACATATATACACATATATACATGCATACACACATATATACACACACACACACACATATATGCATACACACATACACACACATATACACACATACACACACATACACACATACACATATATGCATACACACATATACACACACACACACACACACACACACACATCCCCTAAAGCAAAAGCAAGCATTCCTTCAGCCCCTTCCCTCTCTTCTGTCTCCAGAGCCACAACCTCAGAACAGCCGCCTCTAGGCCGCCCCATGGGCTCCTCTTTCTTTCTCTGCTCCAGGTCTCAGTGGGGTGTCTACTTCCCTGTGCTGAAACACTTCCTTTTCTCTGCTTTCTTTGGCTGGTTTCTTTCCATCCATTGGGTATCAGCTCATATCCCCTGGATTTTTGTCTGTGTAGAGCCGGGGCTGGGGATGCTCTGCAGACACACACCTGCGTGAAGATTCTGTGTGGAACGAGGCTGGTGCACACACGGTGAACGTTCTCGACCCAAACGTAAGGATCTGCATTTTGACCTCGCACAAGGTATATTTTTCCTAATTTCGCAAGTTATGTAGGTGCAAATATTCGTACAAATACATAAAAATCAAATTATATTTAAAGATATTGGAATCATCTTTAGTTTTAAGAATAAAATTATCATTGTCCTGGAAAATCCAGGTTACATGAGGAAAATACTTAGCCTCCCAAATAAAACTTTTTGTTTTCTTTTTCACTGTACTATTTTCTAGATAACTAAGATTTTTATTATTTTTTGGAATGAAACTTAATATAGATACAGGGGTAGGCAAAAGTAGGTTTACAGTTGTGAGTTCCCCAAACACAGTTTATTCTTGTATTCTTATTAATTAATTACTGTGTTATTTTCTATACGAACAACTGTAAACCTACTCTTGCTATCCCTGTATGTTATACAAGAATGGTCTCAGCAATTCCTTCTTGCTTTTGAAACAGGAAATGGTGTTCACAGTAGTATCTGATATTGGCCAGGTCTTTATTTTTTTTTTAATTTTAATTTTTTAATTTTATTTTTGTTACAGATGTTTCTCACTTTTTACCCCATTGACACCCTCCTCCCAATCCCCCCAACCTTGTCCCTGGTTTTGTTGTCCATGTCCACGCAAATAAGTTCTGTGGTTTATCTCTCCCCTCCCTGCCCTACCCCCTCTTCTGAGGGTTGTCAGTCTGTACCCTA